TCGAAAAAAGTCCATTTAAATGAAATAAGAAAACTCAAGGAACAGCTAGGGACTTGTTTTATACAACATAACGAAACATCTTGAATCCTCCCATTATTTGAGTAAAAATTACAGAAAAATGAAAACCCATTATAGACAATTAATAAGAGAGAAAAAGTCTGAGGCAACACTTCACAGAATAGAGAAGTCCGAGAACAAAGCTAAAGCTATATGGAATATAATAAACCAGAGTAGGCAGTCCACTAATATGAAACCCTCCAAAATAATTCTTGAGAATGAAGACCATGAGCCAATCAGTGACCCCAAAGAAGTGTCCAACAAGCTAGAAGCTAACATTGACATAGGGAAAAACTTTTTCATCACTCCTTAACGAAAGTAACTATTTTCGATAACACCTGATATCAATGAAAGTAGTCGTTTCCCAAGCTCTAATTTAGGGCGAGGGAAAATCGATCAGCTGATTTTCCCTCGCTCTAAAATTTACTTTCCCTCGCTCTCAATTAGTTCTCCATTTATTCACTACGCGCGCCAGTGTTTTGTTACGGTTTAATTTAATGATTTTAATCAGCTGTATGTATTTTTAAAAGTTGTGTTATTTTTTTATTTTGATGTTCAAACAAAATTTATTGAGAAATATACGTAGGTTTCTTTTTAGAAGATTTTATTTTATTTTGATGTTTAATCAAATTTATTGAGAAATCAAATTGTTTTAATATACTGAGGTCTGCTATTCTGTGTTTGTGTATTTTTGCGTCGTGATGAAAAGTATCGTTCATAACTCGTACTGAAAGTTATTATCCGGCACTTGCTCCATTATTCCCGTCCTCGGCTTCGCCTCGTACGTGAAAATAGCTCTCACATACTCGGCTTCGCCTCGCACGTGAAATTGGGGTTCCCTGTGTTCGGCTTCGCCTCACACAAAAACTTGGGCGCGCGACGGAAAATGCCACTTTCGGTCCTAGTAATGAAATATACTATAACCTCCCCTCCAATAACTCTCCAAATTCACACATGATTAACGCGAGCTCCATGTTTCAATATCCAACAACTGAGGAAGAGATCTTAGATACAATGAAAAGCTTAAAAAACAAAAAAATCGATTGGTGTTGATGAAATATAAATATAACCCTTCTTTTTAAAAATGGTTGCAGCTTACAAAGCAAAGCCATTATGCCATTTAGTTAATGTTTCATTTTTGAGTGGTTCATTTCCTGAAGCACTTAAGGTGTCTGTAATAAGACCAATATTCAAAAAAGGGGACCCTAAACTTTGCAGTAGTTACAGGCCAATAACTGTTGTATCTGCATTTTCTAAAGGTATTTGAAAAGACCATGCTAAACAGGATGTGTAATTTTCTAGAAAAACATAAAATAATTTTCAAAAACCAACATGGATTCTTAAAAGGTAAATCCACCACATCAGCAATGTATAACTTTATTTTTATAACTGAGGTGATACGAGAACTAGACAAAGGTAATTATTCGGCCGGTATCTTCTTCGATTTAAGTAAAGCCTTAAGATATGGTTTTGCTGCTTAGTAGAATAAATGAAGTGGGGGTGAGAGGACTGGCTCTGGACTGGTTTGAAGCGTATCTTTGCGGCAGGAGCCAATTTGTTGAAATAAGGGCAATAGCTGAGGCTGGTTGCATTCAAGATCCTATCCCTCTGCTGAGAAATCCATTGTGAGAGGTGTACAGCAGGGCTCCCTTCTGAGGCCTGTCCTTTTTCTCCGTTTCATCAACAACATCCTCTCCTACTACATCCTCCAAATTATCTGCTTATTATTTGCTGACAATACCTCCCTTTCTGTATCTAGCTCCACTTTTTACAATCTGGAACAGTTATCTTTTTCTGAAGCAAATAATTTAATACAATGGTTTAACGACAACTTCCTAGAAATTAACACTGAAAACCTCAGCATATAAATTTCCATTTAAATAAGAGCCGAGATGTTGGGTTAAGTCCCCTCCTGGATGAGACTGAGGTCCACCCAACTGCAAATGTAAATTTGTTAGGGTTGATCTTGGCCGAGAGACTTAGTTTTTGCAGCCATGTCAAACACATTTAAAGTCAAATCAGTTCTGGAATTTTTGTTTTACGCAATTTCAGAAACAGTGAAAAATCTAGATATGCTGCTGACGGCTTATTATTATCTCATTTATCCTCATCTAGTATATGCTGTTGCATTTTGGGGGTTTGAGAGCAAACAAACCAAATTTATTTTCAAAATCCAAAAGATATGGCTGTGAGAACTATTTTCTCTTTGAGTAAGCGTCAGTCCTGCAGAGAATACTTTTTCAATTCAAAAATCTTGACTTTTCCCTCCATCTACATTCTAGAAACTTTGACCTTTTTGAAACAATACTTTCGTGATTTTGACTTCTTTACTAAAAATCAATACACATTGCGCAATTCATTTAACTTGCCAATTCCTAAACACAAAACTTCTTTTTTCAAAAAACTCTTTAGACAAATGGTACAGTATTTTGTTAATTCTGGCTTAATAAACAATTCGATTTGATTTGATACATCCGTAAATGTGATAGCTCGAGTAATTCTTGTCCGATTTTGATGAAATTTGGTTTAAAGGTGTAAGGAGGGATAAACTTGAATGACTTCGTGAACCACCATGATCGTACCATGAGAACAGGGTTTTACGGAGGGTAATGGGGTGAAAAATGGGTTTTCTCATTTTTGACCCTCAAAACACTAAATATCCCAATTTCTCTCTAGACCTTTTTAAAGAGCTTAAAAAACAAATAATTTACATAGTATAATTTTAGTTTAAAAAAAAAATTGTAAATTTAAAATTCCCATGTTATTCTTATGGAGAATATTGTAAAATGATGTAGTTTGCTTGTTTATTAATACTAGTGCACATGTTGCTCGAATTCGAGCAGTTGCAAAATGTTGCAGGCATTATTTGAAAACGAATAACAGTCATAACTTTCGATGACTTAAAATGAGTCAACTCAAAAATAAATAATCAATTACTCCACTCCAGTTATCCAAACTTAAAACGAATGGTCTTGTTTGTATCATGTGTTTACTACGAACAGCTGTAATTATTACAAATTATTTTGTCTGTTTATGTAAACATAATCTTTTCTTCATAAGAAATACATTGGGATTTTGATGGCCTATGGGGCAAAGCCCGAGGACTTTTATTACAGGAATTGGTGAAAGGGGGCCTCTACAAAAAATACTTAGTTTTGACACATTGTTTTCCATCCTTTATTAACGGAGGAGTAGTGTTTCGTAGAAATCGCCTTCACATATTATAAGGATACTTTGATAAAACTTGGTCAAATTTATTTATTTTTAACTAAGCTATTAATATTTTACTAAACAAATACACTTTCTTATTTTCCTTTTATCAGCAAAAGGTAGCCTACTTGTTAAACTTAATGTTATTTAAATAGATTCATTGAAAATAAATTCAGACAAATGGAAATTCGCTTAGTTGGCAGGTTTGCTGCGGTGAGGGTATTTTAGCTTAGTCTATCAGCTGATCAGCCTGTCAGTTGTTGTTTAAAAGTTAAAGTGAGGTGGAGGGGATGTAATCGCTTCCCCTCAAATCTCCGAAATGTTGTGAACGGAGTATAGTTCATAACACAGGCAGGAAGTTTCTTCTCAAACATCGCTCGTTTTCCATTCTCCATTTAGTTAAACTTGAGCTAGTGTCAAAAAGAGTTATTTTACGCCCTCGAGATGAAACGTACTATTTTTTACAAAGATTAGGAAATAAAACAATTTTAGACTCCAACTTAACTCTTTTAATAATCAAATTATTAATCTACATTGCACAGGTTTACATACATAAAACTTAATACTAGGCATTTTTACAATATTTACAATATGTTCAATAAATAACAACTTGTTTAAAGTTAACAAAAGACCATAACAATGTAATATTTATTTGTCAAAATTCTTTTGTAAAATGTGTAATCTATAAAGGTAGACAACATATAATTTGTTTAAAATCATACATAAGTTAAAAAGCTTCTCTTAACTTAATTGGAAGGTATATTTGAAGATAAATCAATAATAAATTAACCACAGTTTAAACCTGATGAATGGACACACACTATGTATACAAATTAAAAATTTATGGTCATATAATATATATAGGTAGCCCAGTTAATCTAGATCAATTTAATACCTACAAGAGCTTTAAATTGATACCCAATATGCATATAAAAATAAATATTCAGTGTACGATTTGCTACACACAAAAATCCAACCAATTCTTTTAATAATAGAGATAAGCCAAGATAAAAATTTTAATGTGTATGAATTTTTAAGTAAATGCCTTGATGCATGGGTAGATTTTTTAAATTGTATCTTGTTTCAAAGAGAAAATATAAAAAAGCAGTAAGGAAAACACAATTTGTGATATTTGTTATTTACGTCATCAAATTAACAGACCAAACACATTTTTAAGAGATTTGGAAAGCTAAATTAAACATGAATTGTAGCCAGTTATAACATTTTCTTCAACACACAAAATGAAACAAATTCTAATTACTTGAAAACAGGCTTAATAGTATAGGTACTACCATTGCTCTTAAGGGATTTTTAAATCTTTCTGGATTTACTGGAATCGCTGAAATCTACTGTTGAAAAAATTCCTTCAGGCTACATACTTTTTATAACCTAAATAAAAATAACAACCATATGTTTTACCTTAATTGAAAACAAAGCATATTGACTTGTCAATGCTATTTAACCCTTTGGGTGCCAGAAATTTATTTTGGTACTTTCCGAAAAGTGCCACAGTTTTTTTTACTAGGTATGTCTGAAAAGTGCCAGGCTTGCCGCGGGGGCGAAGCGTAGTGCGCAAGAATAAAAATCGGTAAAAGTATAAATTTTCATCCCAAAAGTGCAATGGAACGATATATTGTGCCTCGATCGTATGAGAAATCGATTGAAATCATCGTTGTTTTATAATAACAACCGATATGCTCATTAAAACTCGCATGATCGAAAGTAGCCCCGGCCCGATATATCGTTGCAATGTATTTTTCGGTAAGACTACCACGACGATATATCGTTGTGAAGTATTTTTTAGATGTGTTGTGCAAAACAAAATATCGTTGCGTGGCACTCGAAGGGTTAAAAATGTTTAATTTCTCATGCCTCCTAAGGTTTAGTAAATCTCAACACCTTCAAATTGACTGCTGAACATTTCAATGACAAAAAAAATGCATATTATATTATTTTGTGACCTCGACAATTGTTAAACAAAGCAATTTGACTTCTCGCAATGCTTTTTAACAACAATTTTTCATGCCTCCCCCAAAAAAAAAATCTGAACACATTGCAAGTTTATGTCCAGGAGGTTATGAAGGAGAGTGCTTGAAGGACGGGGGCAGGTCGTTTTCGGGATCCCCCGTCCTTGCGTCTTCTCATACCCCCTCTCCTCGCAAGGTACACATGAGCATGGAGTCTTGAGACAACTCATCCAGAGACGAAGGTTCGGACACTAGAACACAAGAGATAATTGTTAGTTTTGTCACAACATTTTAAAAACATCAAAACAACATCTCGGCAAAGCAATGAACTAATCAGGTAAGGTTATGAATCTATTAGCGAATTTCCCTATAGGGAAGTAGCTACTACCGTAGGTGGCACGGTAAGACCTAGGCACGGGACCAATTTACTTTTTCATTTTGATGTCCCCAGGGGCCAAAAACATCATTTTTGTTAAAATTTTTAAACTTGAATGAGTTCGCGAACCAGCATGATCGGACAATGGGAACGGGGTTTTATGGGGTAAAATTTGCCAGCTTGGTGTGGCATCTGCAGGAATAAATATAAACTATATTGTGTTAGTGATGAGAAGATAACTTAACAAGAGGACCCCTGAAGATTCACACAAGCTGGCAAAATGCATGGTGCGACACAAACATCTTCTACTCAAGAACTACAGGCTACAACAACAAACGTAATCCAACATATAATTCAAGTTCTTGAAACTGGGATGGCAACAAAAAATATTCAAAAAAGTCGTAATTGACACTTGTTTTATGTTTTCTTTGACAAAAGGGGGGGGGGGAAGAAAAAAAGATAGCTACTTACTTGGAAGGTGAGATGAGTAGATGTGCGATACTTTAGACTGTTGCTGCAGTGAGTACGTGAGGTGTAGATTGATATGTCGACCAAACTGACCGGGCTCTAGCTCTCTGCCTCCACCCATCCCAGCTCCATGACCTGTCATAACATGTCACTGTATCATTAGTTTTGAGAAAACAATAGCTCTGAAACAGTGTTCTAGTGTGGAACGCTCAGCATTGTCTCAAAAGAAAAAAAAAACGATTTAAATAAATGATTTTGGAACAAGCAGAGTAGGGACACAGTTCCTACACATCCCCGCCCCATTACACTGCCAGGGGGAGAGTATTGGACTGAATCAGACGCAACCTGAAGTTGCTGGATTGAGCGCACAATATCTTATCTCCAGTGGTGTAGTGTTGCAGGAACGCTGAGGAACGGTGTTCCCACTGTTTTTTCCAAAATTCCTCTATGTATGTAGGTGACCTGGATTTTTTTTAGACGATGAGGGATTCCGTACCGGAAAAATTTATGACTACATTTTGCTTATCTCTGAGGTCACTACTGGACATATATCTCTTATAATTCTCTTGTCATTAGATATTGCAAAGATTGGTGGTCTGTGAGATAAAAGGTAGTGAAGGTTGCAAGTCACGGTTCTTATAGTAGTATATTTCTGTAAAGAACAACCCTTAAATCCTCTTAACAGATAAAGATACTCCTAAACATTCACACTAAAATGTCTGTGTGAACCTTACCTAAGATATTTTTTGAGAAGTGAAATTATCAAGATGAAGTACGCTTCTTTTAAGATATTTATTTCTAGTTAAAATAAAACTTACAGTGAGATGACTTCATCTTGCCGGTGTTCAGATGTTTCTTCTGTCGCGCCCGAGAGTTCTGGAACCAAACCTGGGTGACTCGCTTGCTGAGGCCGGTGATCTGTGCAATGCGCTCCAGATCCTGACCATCTGGGTTGGAGTCTAACTGGAAGTTGGCTTGAAGCACCTACAACATCGACATTGACCAATCAGACATAGGGTCAGGGCCGTCCGAAGGGGGGGCCACCGGGGCAAGCTACCCCGGGCACCGCAGCTAAGGGGGCGCTGCGGCGCGGCTATTTGTATTAACATATAGTATTAAAAATATGCGAATGCAACTATTACTGGAGGGGAGAGGGGGCGCCACAACCACGTTTGCTACAGGCACCACCAACCCGAGGGACGGCCCTGCATAGGGTCAATCATAGGACTCGGATGTAGTAGTAAAAGAGTAGTTACCAAATAGTCGTTAATTTTTAAAGCTAAAGACTAACTGAGGCGATCTTTGTGCTTGATATTGTAAAAAAACTCACCCACTAAACCATCTTAACTGGCACCTATTTGATCCAAAAGCCAGCCGTGTATCCTAGCTATTTGATACACGGGCGAGAAGGATTGCGAGGAATTTTATATTTACAATTTTTTAAATTGTTTCCGTTACCAATATAACTGTACAAAACACTTTGACATACCAAATTATTTGTTTTTAAGCACTATACGTGTACATAATATGTGTACGTTTCTCCCGACTTCACCTTGACGGAGTTCAGGTTTACGTTGTTTATTTCCTACCCACAATTTGAAAATCGTTTACATATGCTACTCACATTGGAGTGTAGGTTTATATTTTTTGGTTTAGTCATATTTAATTATGATAGGTAATACCTGCAGCTGCTCTTCTGTGAAGGTTGTTCGCACTCGCTTGGCTTTGCTCTTGCTGTGATAGCTCTCCGAGTCTCCACCTTCTGGACATATCAAGACATAAACAATGTGAACAATACAGAGTCGGATGTCAAATAAAAATGCACATGTCTTGACTTAAAAGCCGACAAAAACAATGGCAAACAGGTACAACTACAGTACCAAAATTAAACATTTTGGGATTTGTTAGAGCCAATATTTTTTAAGGTTCACCAAAGCAATGGTCAGGCCCGTGAGTTAGGATGCGCTATAAGGGCCCAAGAGATAATAGTGCCCCTCTCGGCCAAACTTGTCAGTCAAAGGGAATTTTTCTCTTCCCTTTGTGGCCCCAACTATAGCATTGGACATTTATTAAAAGTGGTCCTAGCAATGGTAGTGATTTATTAGAAGAGGGTTGGGAAAACTATCCAGAAGACATGCAGTTGGGTTAGTAATAAACATTATACTGTACATATTAATTTATCGATATATCTATCCCTTGAAAGAAAAGGGGACAGCTGTCCTCTTATCATCACAAATGCACCAAAGTTATCCCAATGAGCACATTATAGGTGACCTATTATAGAATCTATATATTAATATGCAAGCAGGTTTCTTTTCACAGTCATAACTCGATAACGGTTTGACGGATTTTAACGTTTGAGGTGTCAAATTAAAGGTATTTTCACGTAGATGTGCAAATACGTCTCAGAATATTAAGAAAGGGCATCACTTAAGTACAGTTAAGGGCTAAAGTTTGGGAACGGTGGTGCTATCTGTTGACATTAGATCAAACCGTCAAACTCAATTCCCTTTGTTTACAACTAAACATATGGACGTAGTTTTAAATAGTTTTTAAGTTTAATCACAGACTGCAGGACTTATTACTTCAGAGCAAATCTGGAATTTCACATTTTTATTTAAACATCTTATCTGTTTCTTAAATAAAGAGTTTCCTATCAAGACTTGACAACAAATTGTTTGTAAATAGTTGAATGTATTTACCTTACATCATATTTTACTGAATTATCGTGTTGTTTTGGTTACAGTTCGGTGTGATGAAATGAATGTTTGAAAGTGATTATTCACAGTGCAGTTACCCGTTACATTACCATTATAATGTAATTTATAATGTGTATCAAAATTCCTTTGTAGCGTTTTTGTTGATTGGTTAACTTTCGTATTTTATCTAAATCTATCTATCTATATATTAATAGGCAAGCATGTTTCTTTAAAACCTTTTTTCTCAGCTCGTGTGTATCGTACGGAAAATCTACGCATACCGTTAGAAAGCTATTTTCCTGTAGGTGTGCAGAATCCCTTTGTAAACTAAAATAGGCACAAAAATAAGCAAAAAAAATGAGTTTGAAATTTAAAAAAAATAACATGGGTTTTATGGGTTGCTATGGTGATGACGAAATAACAACAAAATATAAACAGAAAATCAAAACAAATGGAAGACATTCCAATCACATGTTTTATTTAACAGTGTGGGGTGAAAATAGAGAAGTTTGCACAAAACATACTTTTGGTCGATTTTTCGACCACGGGGCGTGCTCTCGTACTTATTTAATACGCAAGCAGGTTTTTTGTGACAATTACTCCTCCGAAACTACTGAACCGATTGACATGTTTTTGGTGTCATTGGAAAGAGCGTTACGTGAATTTGTTAAGGAACCTTTCTTTTTAGGGAAATAATTATAGAGTGAGGCCCTTTAAAGTTTTGTATTCCTCCATAAGATTGACATTGGAAACAAACATTGTTATGAAACTCCAGCTAGCTGTTGTCAGAAATTAAAAGTGAGAAGAACATATGGCAATTGTAAAATTATGACAGAGAGGTTATGTAGAAAATCAGGTAGTTTATGGTTATTTGGTGCTATTAAAATAAAGACTGGAATTTGCAAACCTACTAGTGACAATGAGTGATACCATGCTGACTACATTATCATTGACAAAGACCAACATGGACAACCTATTGCGGCTATAAGTGGGAAACATTTCTACAATACACTAAAAGCCAGATCAGCTTTTGCAAATGATAAAATATTTACAAGAAATGTTGATTATATTGAACTGTTAAGTATTTTGTGAGTATTATCATTAGTTACGTAATCTTTGAGTTGACTCTTTTAAACTCATCGGAATTTATGACTTATATTTTTGTTCTTAAATAAGTTATTTGTTTTTAAATAACATATTTGCAATTGCTCGATTTAGAGCAACATGTACACTAGTATAGAATATTTATGATAACTTAATAAAAGGCACGACTGTAAGAAAATCTCATATACAAAAATACAAGAAGCACAACACATTTTGTCCATGATAATTTGTTCAGTATTTTTTGTTAACTTCCCTTCATTACAGTAAAGTTTTAAATAGATTATAGATTTCAAAATGGTGTATATTCAAGGTTGACTAAAACTGAAAGTTTTGACAATATTTTATACCAGCATTGAATTAAAAATTACTAGCAAGGTGGATGAACTGACCTAAACAAGCAAAATTTGGATTGGTCTAAACGGTGTAATCGTAATCTGCATAATAGTAAAATATGTAGATGATTTAATTGCAAAACTTACATTGGTTTATTTCAGTTACGACTTTTTAAAACAAAAATTAAACAAAGGTGATAAAACCATTTAGAAATCAGAATTTTATTTAATTGCCTTACAAGCTATTGTTTAAATTCAACTATTTCACAAGATTAAAGTGATAATCTTATGAAATTAATATGATAAAAAGTCTTCATTGTACACTCTATGTATAGATTATAGATTGCTATCATTGACTATATATACCCTCCTGTAGGTATATATAGTCAATGATTATCGTAAGTGCTGCCACCTACGAGACGGCTAACCAACCAACAAACATCGATCCACATTGGTAGGTGCTGCCACGCTGTCGCTGCGGCCAACTCTCGAACTACAAACGATATTCTACTTCAACCCAAGCTCCGCCTGTATTTGCATTTTGCTGTATTAGCATTTTGAATCCCGACCACCATCGCTGTTTGTGTTAAGTCGCAAATAAAATAGTGATACAGTATTACAACAACATTATTTGCAACCGATTTAATCTGATAACAAATTGTCAAATGAGAGATCAACACAATCAGCATTTATTTGTATCTCATTATATTTTAAATACTATATTTTCAGCGTTCTATATTTCACAGTCTAAATAATATGTTTAATATATTAAAATACCCCCGCCGCAGCAAACCTGCAGACTAAGCGAATTTAAATTTTTTTTATTAGATTTACACTAAATATCACAATTATTCCCTATATAAATAGCATCAGTTTGCATTTAGTCAACAAGTACTGTTTTTTATGCTAATAGTTTAGTATGAAATAAATGCATTTTCCAAATTTAATCAAAATATGTTCATAAACAAGCAAACTACAACAGTTTACTTATCATACTAATATTATAAAAGTGAAAGTTTGTGTGTTTGTTTGTTTATTTGTTTGTTTGTTTGAAGTTCAATCACGCATTAACTACTGGTCGGATTGTGTTGAAATTTGGTACGATGATAGCTCACCTTCCCGATTAACATATAGACATATTCTTACCTCAATAATCCTTTCGGGCTCCGCCCCAGCGGCTCTAGAGTTTCCCGTGTTAACCTTATGAGTATTCATATTTAAAAGGAATTAAATAAATTTGCCAGCTGTTTCAACTACACAATTTGTTTCTATGATGTTCAATAGCATTAAAAGGTTATACGGTTTACCAACAGGATGCAGCACCATTTAGTTCTTTCAGCTAATTTGAACCAAGCAGCAACAAAACCTGAGTGTGTGAACTTGACTTCTTTCTATTGTTTAGGTGAAGTGGTAGAACATTATGGCTATGGTAGATGCTCTATATACTATAGTATACCGTAGATTATAGTAAACCAAATTTTCTCAAAACGTGTCCTCTCTCATTGCAAATGCAAAGCACGAGTATTTAACTGCAATAAGCATTGTATACCAACCCCGTACGAAGGACGGGTACTCAGCTAGTTCTCCATAATAATAACATGGGAATTTTATATTTACAGTTAATTTATTGTAATTTTCTCCGTAACCATTACGCGCATAATAACGCTTCAGTATACAAAATTATTTGTTTTTAAGCTCTACAATATGGTTTGGAAAGAATTTGCTAAATTATTTGTTTTTTGTTTTTAACTTTTACAGATATTTATTTTTGTGCACCACGCTTCGCTCCCGCGGCAAGCCTGGCACTGTTCGGACGTACCTAGTAAAAAACTCTGGCACTTTCCTGAAAATACCAAAATAAATTTCTGGCACACAAAAGGTTAAAAGGATTTGAAAGATATTGCTGACTGTGACTAAAAACTAGGGTAGAGGTTGAAGAGGGTAACATCCTGAATAGTTTGTGAACTTGAAAATATACAAACTTGTAACTTTTGGGGTGAAGTTGAAAGAGACACGTCGGCATTTTTGCAAGATTTTACATAACATAACTTTTGTGGTTCAAACGTTCTTCTGGACACGGCATAAATAAGGTAGAGACTGGATATAGTACAATTTCCTAGTTTGTAAAGTTTGTACCATTGATTAGTTGATTTGTTAAGTGTAAATTGAAAAGTACAATTCCAAAAATTACAATTTTGCAAATACTCCGGTTAATCGCGTCGATCTTACACTTTCACAACAAAAGTTGTATGTAAATTTTCAAGTTTACAAACGCTCTAGAACATTGTACCATCTTCTTGTTGTATCGCGGTCAGAAGTAACATTCAAGTCCGACCCTAAGGTCACGTAGTAGGGCTGGGCTAAACAAGCGGAACTTCGCTGCAATTAGACTCCCGACGTGTTTACAGGGTGTGAAATCGGGAGCAAACCCAATTGTACCCCCCCCCCCACACCCGCATCTACATTGCAGATAGTACTCCATCCCCCAACCCCCCGCCCCCCGCTGGGCCTTTGACAATCACGCGTCGACCGCCGGGATTATTTCGAGTACTCGAAAATTCCCCCGACTCGAGTTACAATTGTTTCAATTGGTGATTTTCGTTGAATGACGGTGGTTATGTGCGATTATCTTGAGGGCGGTGGAGTGAGAGAAATCGGTGGGGATGAGTTTGTGGATTGTGAAAATGTGTTCATTTTGTGAGACCTTGTAGTTCCTTTGACTATTGACAATCACATTACGGTGTCAAAGTTGTATTTAGCAAGTTTTAGATAATTTGCGTCGTTGTCCCCAACATAATGATACTGTGAATGTTATTTGTCACAACGGACGTTCGAAAATTCCTTGCTGTAACTGTCAGTGATACTCCTGTGTGTACTATGTACAATCTTTGAATATGGGGAGTTGCGAACATTGTATTCCAAAGTTGTCGCACACAGTTTTGAATGAATCTGGACATCGTTGTAATGCGCCAACGATACTGAATTGGTGAATTGGCGGCACCGGGAACTGATGTCGTACCCGATTTCTGGTGAAAACACTGACTTTTTGATCACCCACACCAAACAGAACTACTTTTTGAAAACTATAGTATTCTAATTCCACGTTCAACTATTATGGTACGCTAAGGGAGGGAATAGAACGTCAGTAGATCAGCCTAGTGGATTATTCAACAAGGGTTTCAATTAAAAATAATTATCGATCCACAGATGGGTCTACTCAATTATACCGTTACTAGAGGTCGTCCAGTGGCCGAAAACTAGACCAGAAATAAGCTATGTACAGACTTCTCTATTTTCACCCCACGCTGTAAAGAAAACACATGATTGGATTTTTGTATTTTCTGTTTATATTTCGTTGTTATTTCATCACCAGAATGGCAACCCATAAGGACCATATTTTTTTAATTTTAAATTGATTTGTGGTGTTTAATTTTTAGCCTATTAATCCAAATCCAACATACAGTATTTGATTAGTGGCCGTCTACTTGTGTTGGATAAACACACAAATATTAGAACAGGATTGTGGATAAACCGTCTCCTAGGCCACGAACACATTTGAAATATTGAAGATGCACCTGTCCAGCTGTTTGATTTGCTTTATTTATATTTTGTTTATTTACTTTTTCTCTAAAGTAACCTTTAAACACGATGTTTTATCTATGCTTTTAATTCATTACGACAAAGTTATCTATCTATTACTTATTTAATACGCAAGCAGGAATTTTGTGACAATTACTCCTCCGAAACTATTGAACCGATTGACATGTTTTTGGTGTCATTGGAAAGAGCGTAACGTGAAGTTGTGCAGGAAACTTTCTTTTAAGGGAAATAATTAGAGAGTGAGGCCCTGGGGCCCTTTAAAGTTTCGTATTTCTCCATAAGGATTAACATGGGAAACAAAAATTGTTTTGAAACTCCAGCTGTTGTCAGAAATTAAATATTAATAATTGGTCTCCATGGAAGCATGAGAAAATTCACAATGTTTACATTTGCTTTGACATTTAAATGTAAACAAACAGAACTGTCAAATGCCTATTTCACAATTTTAGACAGCTGATAAAAAAATAAAACAACTATGTGGTAGGTATTATTTAATCTTAAACTTTATGATAGATTATTATAAATCTATTTCAATAATTAATGAAACAAATTTTTCCCGTTGCGAAGCAAAAATGAATAGTGTGAAGAAAAAGATATGTTGTAAACAGTCAATGTGTAAATTATCGAAGTTGTATTAAAAATGTATATAGTTTTGGATGTTGGTTTGTGTTTAATGATATAAGTTAGTTATTAAATTTTTATTTTAAGTATTTGACATATGACTAAGCCTATGATAAAATAACACCATTTCAGATTTCTGCCAGTTTTTGCCTAACTCTGTCCTGAAGAGTTTAAAGTAGCCTACACCTTTTTGTCTACAAATTGGCTAAATAACTTAGGTACAGTACTTAATAAAAGCTGACAGCCTTTTTACGTTGACCTTAAATTGTAAGCTTACCTTTTCCCGTCCATGGGCAGTTTGATTGTTAAAAATGTACCCTTTAAAATGGAAAAGGACTGTTATGTAAATTGTAAGTATTTCCATTGGTTGATAATCTTGTAGTTGGCTCTTTTGCTCTTTTAAAATAATTGGAAATTATGACTGTTATAAGTTTTCAACCAAGTAATTTGTTTTTAAATAACTCCTGTACTTCTTTGCAATTGCTCGATTTCGAGCAACATGTACACTAGTACTTATTTAATACGCAAGCAGGGTTTTTGTGACAATTACTCCTCCGAAACTACTGAACCGATTGATATGTTTTTGGTGTCATAGGAAAGAGCGTAACGTGAAGTTGTGCAGGAAACTTTCTTTTTAGGGAAATAATTAGAGAGTGAGGCCCTAGGGCCCTTTAAAGTTTCGTATTTCTCCATAAGGATAACATGGGAGATAATTTTTATTTACAGAAACATATGTTTGTTACTTGAAAATAGTCAAAGTCTACTACATAATAATTGCTGGGTATTATGACTCTTAATGTATACTACATTTCAATCAAGGATTGTGTACCTTAACGTTTACCCATAATGGATCTTACTACTTTATTTTAATGCTGGGAATAGTAAAATTTAGTTGAGATACCATGATTTAGAAAACTTTACTATAATAATTTATGTACTAAAAATCACAAATCTTTGACATTATTAATTCATTTGAAACTAAACAGCTGATCGGCAAATCAAACAAATCATCTACTTCATATAAATAATGATATTACACAAAAATAGGTTTTTTTACTAATAACTTGATTTTTTTTATAAAAGAGTTATGAAAGCACCTAGGTGCACAACCCTTACTAAGTATATTTTACATATATTAAGTACAATCCATGAGACATTTGTAAAGTTGAACTAATTGTGTTTATATAACAGCTCTAAGACAGATTTCTTAAGTATGGTAATAAAAAAAAAACGATTAAAGATACTGAAGAATGATACAAGTTTTCATTAAAAGTAACTTTTATCTAATTTTCTTTACAAACAAACAGTATTAATGAATTACTACATGGACTTGACAAGTTAGGTAATTAATTGTCAGTATGCCAAGGGGAAGAAGAGTGGGTCCTCGAAAACAGACGAAGGCGGAGACACCCCTCTCGAAAATCCAACTGAGTTTTTTTAATATAGAGGTCAGTGGATTGCCAAGACACGGATTAGAATAATAAAAGGGGGCAGTGGTTTTATTGATGAGGAATATTAATACATCAAAAAGGGGCCTCATAAATGGCACAAGGCTTCATGTGATTAGAACGGTTAACCACTTAATAGAATGTGAAGTCTTAACTGGAACAAGTGAGTGGGAACATATTTTGATTTCGAGGATGTACCTTTTAATATGGAAAGATACTAATTTCTGCTATCTTTGGCATTTGCAGCACAAGCGCTGTAATTAAAGAGCAGCATGGTTCTACCCAGACCAATTTCAGTCATGAGCAACTATATTAACTTATATGTTGTTTTAAGTAAAGCTACATCTTTTAATAGGATACGCATATTCGTTACAGTAACTCTGACCACATGGTAATCTTCCTGAAGGTAACTTTAAGACTAAAATCGCAGTATTCATCATGGTAGTGCTTTTGGGATAAAAATTTTTTTTTTATTGTTTATTTTTAAAAGCGTGTTTTCTTCAAACAGCATTTTTATGACCCTCAAAATATGCTACATAGGCCTATTGGTTGGATATAATAAAATGTTTTTTAATGTCTTTTAAAAATCTTCAAAAAATAACTAAGTTTACCCTATAACCTTGCTCGCTGCCTATAACATACTTGAACTTGAACACTTATTAATTTACTATTATTTATTACTATTATTTACTATTATTTATTTAATTTAGTAAATATAATACACATAAAGTCAGAACATGGCTGGACTGCTTCCCTTCTAAAGCTTTATTATTACTGTAATCAATTTTCGACGTCGAGCCAATATATTACACGATGAATTTGTTTTCTAAATTCCTATGTTCTTTTGCGGGGCATTGAGCCGCACAGGTTCACTAGTTAGTTTTAATTCAGCCACACAAATTTGCAATTACAGAAAGAGAAACTTTCATTGAAATAAGCGATAAGTCCGATTGAAATTTGCCTGTATAATTTGCATGGTAAGTAGCCTATGTGTAGCTGCTTTTATCGTAGATTTTTAGAGAGCCTCATCCGCTCTCAATATTTAAAATATTCGCAAAGCGACACAGTTTAACTATTGATAATAATATGGCTCTCTTAATCTCTTACTTAATATAGATTAAGTATTTTTGCCCCGTTGCGAAGCACGGACTGAACAACTAGTACAGTATAAAGAGTGGTTTACCTACCTCAATCAGGTTACGGTAAAAAATGCCTAAAAATAAGTTAAACGCGAGGGAGGCGAAGCCCTAAAGGAATTACGGAATTAATTAATTTATAATTATTTAGAAATCGGTTATAGGCGTAGGAAAGGCGAAAAAAGGATTTTACAGTGAAACCCCTTATTGCAATGAGTTATTTGTGTAACTAGTGTTGCAAACCTATTTCCAAGCGTACACAGATTACGTGCCTAATAAACACACGCTGTGTATTTGGTTGGAATACTAGTTTGTGGCAAAAAAAGAGTTCTGCAAAAGTAAAAAGAGTGCGGCAAAGTAAGTAAATGCAGCAACTAGCAACTTTCTGTACTATAATCAGTGTAAGGAAGCCAAATTTGTCAGGTGAGAGGTGACTGTAGGAAAAGTATATAGATTACAGTTTTAGTCTTGAAGAACTGTCAAGACTGTGTCAAGGGGGACACAATTAATATTACAGACGACACATACCGTCAGACGATGTGGTGGTGCCGTCAATGGTCTCCAGGTAGTGCGCTTTGCAGAGCACTCTGTCGTCATGTAGTGCGAACTCCTCGCCCGTGCTGAGTTGTCGCTTGCACGCGTCGCACGCGAAGCACGCCAAGTGGTAGACATGGTCGCGTGCCTTCCGTACCCAGTCGTTGGCCGAGATGCTGCGGCAGCACTTGGAGCACTTGGCACCGAAACTTCTGAAACAGACAATACGTATAAGCTATATTTTAAGTTGATTCAATAAAAAATAGCATCATTAAAAAAATTGTTTTGACAAAAACGTATAAGCTGGATAATAATGGTAAAGTATAAAGTTTATGATTTGGACATTCATTTTCATATAGAAGTTGTAGCAATGACTAACCAACAAAGACTTCTCATCCCATTGTAAATTTTGAAGCTCGTGTTTCGTGTCTAGTTCATGTTCGGCGACACTTGTGGCTAGTATCGATGACATTTTCTTTCAATTATTTTAGGGTTAATTTCATGATTTGTGCTTTACTGTTTGGCTATATAACTCGGATCACTTGTTTATGATTAGATCGTTTTATTTGGTTAAACGAGGTTTTGGATTACTGAAACAACAAGGCACATATTGTAACCAAGATACGTACTACCTCTACAGTGCACCTGGAAGAACTAACAATTTAACATTTGTTTCTAGTTATTGAACCAATTTTAAGACTATTTTGTTTTTTGACCGAACAAAACTATCTAATTTCAGGATAAACACTTGTTTTCAGGCATTATAATTAAACAGTGAAGCACAAATAGTGAAAATCACTCTAAAATAAAAAATCTACAGGTAGCATATAGGATGAAAAGTCTATTTGCACTGTTCTAAGTTGCTTCATCTACTATTATAAGGAAAGAAAAACGCACGCATTGTAAAATATACCTTATGAGCAATCTATTTTACTCAACATCTACACTCAAACCGTCCATGAACCATACACATCACATCAGAATTTCAGATTGAGATTTTACCTAGAACTATTCATGCGCTATTCAAAATCGACGCTGCCTTACTTCCTGTAAGTTCTACTCCCTACATTTACTAATCAGTCTGAATACTCCTGGAGTCTCTGTGATCTGCTCTTCGCCGCCTTGTGGAAGCCAGAGGCCTCGCCTCCGCGCGGACCCCCGCCGAGGAGCAGCTCCACGTACAAGCCCGGAAGCCGAATTAACGTGTGAATAACGGCTAAATCGTGTCTCGGACACCTAATTAGGGCAAATCAGTATGCGAGAGTGGCTCTATCAGTTAGGCGGGCGGTGTAAACACGGACTAATGAGAAGCGGGCTGGCGTTGTGTGGGTCTCCTCGTCGCAGCAGACCTACGTACTCAGCGTCACCCAAAGTCTTACAAGAAACACTGGAATCTGAGCGTAAATAAAGCGTGTTTTCATGTACATACGTATAAGCTACGAGTGTGTTATGGGTGTAAAATCATTGCTTTAAAAAGTTCTGGAAGAATTTTCCACTCATTGTAAAATCTGAAGTTTTGATGTGTTTTTCAGATTGGTGATGTATTTTGTGTTTTTAGTGGTGAATCACGTGATTAGTGTAATGTCACTTTGTTTTGGGTTTCGAGTAGTAATATTGATGAGGTAGTGATGATAAATACACTGGAACAGTACACATTCTGGTATTTTCACTATCTTTTGACGGCATGTTGTTAGATAGATCAACCACAACAATTAGATCAACCTCACTATTGGTTGATATCACAAAGACCAATGGCATCTGAGTCCGGAATGGGTCTAAATAAGCAGCGACCTTCTTTTTGAAGGCGAGCACTATAACAATTTGGCTATCTAGATAGTTTGAGTGCACCGATGTTGATAACACTTTTCTCTCTTATTCAAGAATATATTGTATGATCTGTGCTGTGCATTTGGCTATAATAAAGAAGACAAGTAAAAGTTTAATATGCGTAAAAGTAGTGTTACTAAATAATAACAAGAAACCAATCTTAAACAACAATAAAAACCAGACATAAACCAGACAAAAAATATTCATTGGTATGTCACCAGATTTGGTCTAAAGAATGTCATGTTATCAGCATCTATCATGATGGGGTCCTTACACCAGCTATCACACCTATGTTACCAGTCACAATCTTACATCCTATGCTGTGATTGCATCAGCATCCATCCTCTATGTTACCAGCAAAATGTAACCATGTGTATACTTCTGATATCCAGCGGTATTCTTTCACAAACTTTCCTAACGATGGTATATTATCAGTTACTGCCATGAGGGTGGTTTATTTCAATTAGGACCCAGCTGTATGTTTCCAGTCTTTTCGCCTAACAATGGAAAATGGTGTAGTGTATACCAACTACTGTCTCACTGCCCTGACGATGGTATATATACCAACTACAGTCTCACTACCCTGACGATGGTATATATACCAACTACTGTCTCACTGCCCTGACGATGGTATATATACCAACTACAGTCTCACTACCCTGACGATGGTACATACCAACTACAGTCTCACTGCCCTGACGATGGTACATACCAACTACAGTCTCACTGTCCTGACGATGGTATATAACAACTACTGTCTCACTGCTATGACGATGGTATATACCAACTAGAGTCACAGTCTCACTACCCTGTCGATGGTATATACCAACTACAGTCTCACTGCCCTGACGATGGTACATACCAACTACAGTCTCACTGCCCTGACGATGGTACATACACACTACAGTCTCACTGCCCTGACGATGGTCTACCAACTACAGTCTCACTGCCCTGACGATGGTATATAACAACTACTGTCTCACTAACCTGACGATGGTATACCAACTACAGTCTCACTGCCCTGACGATGGTATATACCAACTACAGTCTCACTGCCCTGACGATGGTACATACACACTACAGTCTCACTGCCCTGACGATGGTCTACCAACTACAGTCTCACTGCCCTGACGATGGTGTATACCAACTACAGTCTCACTGCCCTGACGATGGTATATACCAACTACAGTCTCACTGCCCTGACGATGGTACATACACACTACAGTCTCACTGCCCTGACGATGGTCTACCAACTACAGTCTCACTGCCCTGACGATGGTATATACCAACTACAGTCTCACTACCCTTACGATGGTATATACCAACTACAGTCTCACTACCCTGAGGATAGTACTATATACCAACTACAGTCTCACTGCCCCGACTATGGTATATACCAACTACTGTCTCACTACCCTGACGGTGGTATATACCAACTCCTGTCTCACTACTGCCCTGACTATGGTATATACCAACTACTGTCTCATTGCCCTGACGATGGTGTATAACTTCATTACCCTGACGATGGTACATTCCCAGATCCCAGCATTCCCAGCTACCGTGCCGAAGGAGTGACGCGGCCGCCAGCGATGAGTCGAGTAAATCAGCAATATAGAGCAGCCGATATATAACCGTAGAACACGACAGTGCCGTTGTCCGCGATACCACAGCCCTATAAATATCTCGGTAGCATATTCAAATGGCCGGGCTACACGATTAGACCATTAGGTGTGGGCTACATCTGACCAATTACCTACCCAATTAAATCGACCGCTTGGTGGTCTACATCTGATATATACATTGTACTCGCCGCTATTTATTTTTCCAGGGTTGGTGGCCTGCTGCCGGCGACGATAACTCGCTCGGCCGCCGTATTTATAATATAGTTTATACGTCCGTTCCGCAGCTACTGGTATTTATTATTGCCTCCGCTTGTCTTACGCTAACTAGTCGATATCATTTCGAATGTTATTGCCGTGCATAAATACAAGCGGTATAAATAATTTGTTAACTATTCGATTGATTTCTGTTACGACGACTGTTGTTTGTTTACGATATGAGAGGGCGGAGCTGGTAGATAAAAGTGGAGTGATGTTTATGTAGTGGTTTAGACGAATGGTGAGTTTAAAAATAAAGATATGTAGTTTTATTTAAGGGATTAGTGATTTTTCCATTGCAGTTTGTAAAAAAGGTTTGCACAAAGTTAAAAGCATGTGAGGACAAATCTACAGTGTATTTTATTCAAAGACGATTGTGGAAATAGGCCCATATTAAAAATTAGGTAATTTTACAATACTTTTTGTTTGGCCAATAAAGCAACCAGTAATTTATGATCCGAGTAGTTAGAAATTTACCATCCTTTTTGGAACATTAAAAGTTGATTTCCAACCTACCTCAGATTAAGTACGGTAAATAAGATTTACAAAACACATTTTTTACCTCAGTAGGATTTACAACCTCGGTAATTTTTACCGTATTCGAATTTAATCTACAATCTACCTCAGTTCAAACGAAATAGTCGTCATTTTCCACAGAAGATTTATTAAAACATTTATTTTCTTGTGCTTGCTCACCTCGTTGCAACAAAATGGTTAAATAACAAAAAATAATAAAAATAGTCGTGCAAAAAGGGAACTTTATACCAAAATGAAAAAGGTATGTTCATTTTACAATATCTTTTGTTCATTATGTAAAGCAACTAGTCATTTATGTATCGAAATAAAAATGTAACATATTATTCGGCATATTGAAACTTAATTTACGATTTTCCACAGTTTAACCACTATCAAAATAAACGGTAACAGCAAAATGACAAGTAAACATTATTTCATTAGCTTGTCAAATACCTTTATAATGGGTAAGAGGTGGGAGTGACTATGATATTTTATTGATAAAATCACAAAAACTGCTATAACTTGTGAACCTTGAAAGCAATTTCTTTAAATTTTAAATTACCATAACATAGTAAGTTTTAATCAAAAGCGTTTGAACTGCTTTTGTAAAAATCCTATTAGTTTCGTTATTTGATGGAGAAATCACAATTATAATAATAATACAAAATTTAAAAAAATGAAATAAATTCCTGGAGGTACTATGGATTAATACTCACATATCAAATTTCATGATAATATTACTACAGTTGTAGTCTTTTGCTCTGCACCCACCCACACACACACTACACTTCAAAAACAAAATTTTAAAGTGGACCCAAATCGGAACTCAAACTAAAAAATTCCAAAGAAATATTCTATCAATAGGGGGAGGATGTAAAATACCCCACACATTGATTTACCCGGCACAATTTCCCATTTATCCACACACACCGTGTCCTACACGTGGACTGGATTATTCCACCCCTCGTTAACTATAACCGAATAACCCGGGA